CACAGTTCTCCCAATCGCCATCAGCCATCCCATTTTATTTTGCTAAATCTCATCAACAGTCTGAAATCTCTTTCCTTTCAAAGGTGATTTTAGTTTTGGGAAAAGCCAGAAGTCACAAGGTGCCAAATCTGGGCTGTAGGGGGGCTCAGTCACCTGGGTAGTTTGATGTTTCATCAAAAATCTCTGCATGAGACATGATGCGTGAGTAGGTGTGTCGTCGTGATGAGGCTGCCAATCACCAGTTGCCTGTAGCTGTGACCTTCTGAATCATCTGAACAGTTTCCACACAAGAATGGTAAAGGCTCAACCTAACATTTGTTGCAGATGCATTGCTCTATTCACTTAATCATTTTGAGTGCAATGGCCACACAGTGCACATGCTCACTCAATGGCATCTACCGCCCCCACTGACTAGTGCAGCGATGTCGTCATTGTTTGTATATGCACACTCCAGCCCACTCTCCTTGGCTTCCAGGTTGCATCAGTGTTGCACAAACTGTTCTCGTTTTATTGACAATGGCTGGACTTTTTCCGGACAGACTTCATATACTCAGTCATAAGGAAAGATGGACCACCACCATTTGTGACAGCATGGATGGATCTCGAGACTATCGTGCTGAGCAAAGTGTCAGACAGAAAAAGCTAAGAGCCATATAGTTTCACTCATATGTGGGACATGCACCTGAACGTAACAAATGAACAAGTAAGAAACATTAACAAACAGAAACTCACAGACACAGACAAAAGTATGGTGGTTACCAGAGGGATGGGGGTGAGAGGGTAGAGGGGTAGTAATGAGTGAAAGGGGCCAAATACATTGTGACAGATGATAGTTTGTGGGTGACAGACACACAGTGCAATATGCAGATCACGTGTCATAGAAATGTACACTTGAGCCCTTCTATATGACCTCATTAACCAATATCGCCCCAATAAATTTAATTAAAAATAAAGGGCTTCATGGGGGGCAATAATGAGAAATAGGTTAAAGATGCTTTTCTAAATAATTATTGTTACTTGAGTTGCATTTGCTAGTATTAATCCAGTATATTGAGACTTATTGTTTAGCATTTAGCATGATTCCACTTAAGACTTCTGAATATTTAAGATTCAATTTGGCATTATTGGTTGTTTTATATCTGGTGGTATATTGACTTTAGGAAAATGCATCTGAACAGAAAGGTAGAAATACTCCCATTACTCACAGAAATGGTATTTTAAATGTAAAACATATTTCATATGAGGACTATCAGCTATTCCAAGAGGATGTTTCATCAATTCTTAAAGCAATCCACTTTACAGAGAAACACAGAAGAGCACTCTTGTGTTCTGATGTCTCCCCATGAAAACAACAACTTACTGTTCTCGATCCAGGCCCAGGAATTCTAATCTTAGAGTGGCAGAGGGCATCTGAGCAGGGGCTTCTGTGGTGATCATGGCTCTAAGGCGGGAATTTGGTTGCTCTGGAACCTTCCATGACTTGGTACCTCGGTACCCAGGGATCTAGTGAACCACACACTCAGTGAAGGTTAAATCAGAGGCAGCACTGGCCTCGGCATCATGCTTGTCCACCCCCCACTCCCCCCTCTCCAGCCGAGTGTATCTCTTGGACAACCGTTCTTCCCAGGAAACGCACTGGTCTGATGCTTTCTCCAAAGACTGCTTTCCTGCAATGCCCAGGTGATGCCACATGTACAACAGGAATATGCCATCTGCTCCAGCAAGGCCAGAGGAGAAAGTAATGCAACTCAACTTCGAGTGGCTGCCCACACACATTGCCACAGCATCCATCTTTCTTTCTTTCTTTTTTTTTAAAGGGTATTATTTTTTAAAGATTTTATTTATTTATTTTTAGAGAGGGAAGGGAGGGAGAAAGAGAGAGAGAGAAACATCAATGTGCGGTTGCTGGGGTCATGGCCTGCAACCCAGGCATGTACCCTGACTGGGAATCGAACCTGCGACACTGGGGTTCGCAACCAGTGCTCAATCCACTGAGCTATGCCAGCCAGGGCCAGCATCCATCTTTCTAATGAGCTTGAATACCCTTGTGTCTGAGTGCTAGGGATCCAGATTTTTCATCTTAACATAGCATTCTCTTCTGAAACTGTTGCCAGGAGGGACCCCATTTTCTCCACCTGCCAGTTTATTTTCTGGAGGCATTGGGTACTTTAGATACATTATATGCTCTTCTGGAAGCACCTAGGTCCCCTTCTCTCTGTGTCTAACAGAAAAATGTCTATGCTGAAAAATATGGATCATCATTTTCACAATATTACCTGTAAGATTAATGTAGTTCAAGGCCGTTGATCCAGTTTTGCCTGAGTGGGTTGAGCGTGTTTAGACCAGGTGTACTTCCTGAGATCCGGAGAAATGCACGTGGATTACATGAACTGCATCCCCTGCCTTAACATCATGGGCCGCAAACAGCATGGTGTCTTTTTACTGATTTGATGACTCCCTATGCTCCTGATTTTCCTCCTATCCTGTGCCTACTTCTTTTTCTTTTGTTGAATCAACTTTTCTACTCATCCCTTACCATCTGCTCATCAACTTTTCTACTCATTTCTGCTGGTATTCAGATTTTCTTCTCTCTTTCTCTCTACAAAATCTCCCCAAGTAATGTGATTCACTCTCGTGGCTCCGACCAGGAGCTCAGTGTAATGGCTCCCGCCCAGCTCCGTGTTCCGAATATCAGACCCAACTGAACCGCCAACTGAGACCTCAGCTCATGTTTCTGAAGTCACCTGGAATAACGGACTGACAGCATGCCCCAGACTGAACTTAGCACGTTCCCTGGAAAGCCCTCACTCCTGTCTCTGCAGGATTAGTGAATGATGTGTAGCTGCCAGAATCCCACCGAAAGTCTAGGCATCATCATCATCACCTATTTCTTCCTCTCCATCCACATCCAATCCCACGCCAATCAATATTGTCATTTTTCTTTCCTGAGTTCTTTTCGAATCTCTCCATTGCTGCCACTGAAATTTAAGATGCTGTTGACTCATCCGGATTACTAGTCTTCCCCTCTCCCATTCATTTGTCCACACTGAAGGCAGCCCATCTCTCCCAATTACAAATGTAAGCACATTATTTCCCTGGTCAATAGCTTTCAGGTGTTCTAGATTTCCGAAACCCTTCTCTCATCTTGTTCTTTCTTATCTCCCCAATATCTTCAAGACTTCTTTAAATTTTGTGATATAACTTCTTTGAGATGCTTAACTGCATCCTTTTTTCTTCCCCTTCCCCCTTCTCTTTGTCTTTGCTCCTCCGTCTCATGCACGAATTTAATGTTCATGTGTGTGCCCTCACACTTTCTTTGTTGCTGTACTCTCACCTCTCAGGCCACTTTACTTATCCCTCTGTCATGGAGACCTCCCTTCCTGCCACCTGAAGTCATAGCAGATTTTCCTTCCATGTGCTGTCATAGGGTATTGTGTATCATTCCTAACATCACTCGTATTTTTGTGTTTGCATCTTCTACTCCTGAGGTCACGTGTACCTCTGCCAGTGGAGAAGTGGTATGTCCTCTGCCTGGAAATTCATTACAGCCTTCTCCATCCTGCATTCCCACCTGTACTCCGCTACATCTTGTTGATCCCGCCACATTCAGGGAGCATTCTTGCGAAAAGCTTTCCCTGACTTCCCAGGCTGGGCCAGGGGACTGTCCCCTGTGCGGTTCTGGTCGCGCACCACCTTCTACAATAAACGTCAGCTCACACCGCTCTTCTGCTCAGGATCTTCCACAGACTCCCCGTTTCACTCAAAGCCCTTATAACGCCCTGTGGTGCCCTACCCCCTTTCCTCAGTATCCCTCCGGCTTCAACTCTCACTACTCTCTCTTCTTTCTCCAAGCTTAAGCATACGAACCCTTTAAGGCTACGGTAGCAGCCGAAAAGCTTTCCCTGGAAATCCACCCGACTAACTTCCTTGTCTCCTCCCAGTGGGTGCAGAACTGTCCCCCTGTCAACGAGGCCTACAAACTGCCCTATTTAAACTTGCGGTGTGCACCACCCCTCTCTACCCGCACACTCCTATCCCTTTTCTGCTCCTTTTTTATAGCACTTATTCCAGCCAGTCAAAGGATATAATGTATTTATGATTATTTTTTAATGTCTGTCCTTATTAGAGTATAAGCTCCATACTGGTGGAAATTTGTATCTGTTTTGTTCATTCAAGTTTTCTAAGTACCTCCAATGGTAATTAAAATGTAACAGGTGCTCGCCCTAGGTGGGTGACTCAGTTGGTTGGAGCACCACCCACACACCAAAAAGTTGCGGGTTTAGTTCCTGGTCACGGCACATACCCAGGTTGTGGGTTTGATGCCCAGTAGGTCGGGGAGCACACAGGAGACAACCAATGGATGTTTCTCTCTCACACGTCCATGTCTGTCCCTCTCTCCCCCTTCTCCTCTCTCTAAAATCAATAAGCATACCCTCAGGCGAGGATTAAATATACATAGTAGATGTGTTTAAAAGGACATCCCCGATTATAATATATTAATATTTTCTTCTCTTGCCCACCTTCCTTCCCACTACCAAATCATTAACTCTTCAAATGCAGGGATTTCTGCTGTTATGTCTATTTACAGTATCTAGCACATTTCCTGAAAATATTGGGTTTATAATAAATGTTGGCTAAGCGCACGCATTCATCTTTGACCCTAGCCACCCATCGCTTTGCAGAGTTTGCAATCACACGGCGCCAGACCAAAACACAAGTGCCAGAATGTTTTCTTAGAGGAGAAGCTTCACTCTAAACTCTCACAGCACCCGAGATCTCCAAAATGCCGCGACCAGCAGAGGCCAATATGGTGAATCCTTCTCCCACAGAGTCTCTGCCGAAGTGAAGCGCTTCCCATTGTCCATTTGGCCCTGTGTCTCCATTCTGTAATTGGGATATTTATCTTAATCAGATGAAATACTAAAGGGAAGCCTGGGGGTTGTGAGCTGGAAAGGCAGTCTCTTGCCCTCTGTGACTTCTCTTTTTCTCTCCTTCCTCAGAGCTCTCCCTGCCATGATGCAGTGGGTCCGCACGCAGAAGCCGGGAGAGAGTGGCATCAATATCGTCACCGCCGACTTTGTAGAACTCGGTGATTTCATCAGCACCGTCATAAAGCTCAACTATGTCTTTGAGGAAGGAGAAGCCAACACTTGATAGTACTGTCTGAGCCTTCATGAGTAAGATAGCAAAGATGCATTGTATTAGGCATATTATCTACAAACACGCTGATCTTCCTATTCCACTGAGTCTCGGAGGGACTTAGGGCTGGTAGTGGGTGGGAAAAGGGGGAATCCATTTCTTGAGTGATTACTATCATAGTCTGCACTAGTATAAATATTTCATTTCCCGTTGGATGAGCAACATCTCCTTCTAGTGTTAGAGGTTTTAAAAAAGACCAGTGAATTTTGTTTTTCAGAATTAGTCTTTGTAACGTGTAACTCGCGAGTGTTGACTTGATTGTGTTTCTGGTTTCAGCCTAGATCTCCTACGCGCTCTCCGTATCCTCTGATTGAACTTTCCCGCTCCCCCTCCCGTGCTCTCTTTTTAATCAGATGCTGTACGGGACTCAAAACGATGGACTGTCCCAACAGAACATGTATTACATTGTTGCACTAACATTTATTTGTTGTGTGGGACTTGGCATAGTATTCTGTCGTCATCTGCAATTGGGCAATCATTGCTAACTTTGGGTCATGGAAAATATGCAAGTCATTTTCCCTGCATCAGTGATATTGGAGGCTGCAACCAGTGATTTTTGTGTTATAAGAAAATAATAGTGTTTCATAGTATTTCTATTTAAGGCAGCTATAAATATAGAGTAAACAATTCTGTGGAAGAACTATTCGTGCCAACTCTATAGTGCAAAATGGGGGTGGGGGATGGTTGCTGTTTTAACTCAGAATCTCGTAGTAATATTGCCCTGCAAACACCCAGTCCATGAAAAAGGATGAATGAAGAGTGTGCTAAAATCAGACGACTTTGCAAAGAACTCTTACAACAGCTCTCCTGACAATTCATTTGATCTTTTTTGAAAAGGGGAAGAAAAGAAAGAGAAAGAAATAAAAGATTGTGCAAGCTTTCTTATCCAATTGGGATTTCCAATGATATAAATCTAAATTCCAGATTTTGAGGAGCATATTTCAAGAAGCTTTCATTTGAGGGTTTTTTTTTCTTAAAGTTGAAGGAAAAGGAAGGGTGACAGAAGGAGTCAGAATAATGCTTTTGAAACTATGTCCATGAGATTTCAAGGACCTATGAACTGCCTTTGGCAGATTCTTAAATACGTGTGATCTGAGCAGACTTAATGAAAACTGATTTGGCCCTTCTGGGTTCCGTTCCCCCCCCCCCCCGGGGTCAAGAACGAGGCAGAGGAGAACATTCTTGTAGTCTAATGTTTGACAGTCCAGTTGTACAGGGAAGAAAAAGGGAAGAAAAATGATAACTCAAGTATGAGTATTGATTCCTCCTCGCTGTCCCTGTGATATTTAACAACTCTAAAATAATCTTAAAAGAGCACAATAACCTTTACCTGTATGCCTAACAGGAATTTTGTGAGGCGTTTATAAAAATCTATAAAATTTGCTGAAATTCTTACAATTATGAATTATTTTATCTTCATGTTTAGAAATAATTGCACCTCAGTAGTTTCTTGGGAAAACGCAGTCTGTGTATAGTGGGGCCATAGAGAAATAAAAGCATGCCCTCAGCTTTTAATTAATCTAAATATCAGTCATGCGGTTAAATCTCTTAGACCTAGGCAAGGGAGTTGAGTCCAAGATTGTGTATGTCAAGATTATAAGTAATTAAGAGTTGATAAGATTATAAAGGCTCATTATCAGAAAATATTATTCGTTAGCAACTGCAGGGAAGAAAAACTATTTATACTGAATAGAATGTTTATGAAAAGTGTGTAAGTATGTGTGGCAGACCAAGTTGCACGTGTGTACACGCAACAGATACAGTCTACATTCCAGCGGTGTGTATGTTTCACCCCCCACAGTGAGTCATTACATACCCACTCGTGTGCAGGCAGAAACACGCAAACACATGCAAACACATGCAGACACGGACAGACACAGTCAAATCCTTCTTTTCAATGGAGAACATTGACAACATTAAATAATTTAATTTTAAGACTGTGAAACCCTTAACAGTGTATGAAAAACAGTAGTATACCTTTGAGAGTAGAGTTGCTGATCATATTCAAATATTTTTATAAAGATGATCTAGCGTGGGACTAAATTATTTGCAAAGATAGTTTTCTTTCTGCTTCGCAGTTTTATTGTCTTTCTATCCCCTTCACTTGCTCCGTGTGTACGACTGAACAGAAATCCTTTTTAAAGGACTAGGGATTATTGAAATTTATGTCCCGTAACTTTGCTTTTGGGGCAGATTTTTCTCCCTGACTACTCATTATTCATCATTCCTCAGGAGGACCTTTGGCCAAGCACACTTGAAATGACATCAGGATTTAACTTATACATACGACAGGAAACAGATATGTCCACATACTCGTGGAAAATGAATAAAATAGCAGAGGTAACTATGTTGTATTTTCTTGAACTTAGATGCTTTCTTACAAAGTTTGCTTAGAGTTAGCTTTGTTGTATTTGTCATTTCGGTGCTGGAGAAAAACACAAACAAACATGCTGAAGGATTAGACTGACTGTGCAGTTTCTTAACTGGAGGAAGTTTTCTATTGCCGCTAATGATATGCACAAAGGAACTTGTTTGACAAGAGGTACTTTCAAGCCAAGGTTATTGTTTCCACGTGGATACACAGCACCCGTGGAGCAGGCACCGAGAGGAAAGGGACTTGCCTTAATTTCTAAAGGAGGAAGCGTGTGGAAATGAACTGGGGGCCTTACACCTGGGGAGCCTTCACTAGCAGGGATTCCTTTGAAAGGGGAATAGAGAGAAGGTGCCTGTGGCTGCCTTCCGTTTATTGGCACCGCTCTGGAGCACACTTAGGGAGCTGGCCGTGGGCCTTAAATAAAGAGGTGGAGGCGAGGACCGGGGAGATGCAATCGGAGATTACCCTCTCAGCCTACGCTGCTTTGTCTTGGCTGGGCACTGTCTTTCCAGACAAGCTGGGGGTCCAGGGCTACAGAGAGGCCCCAAGATGGTAGGACATACTTCTTGGTGCAATTTTCATGTTGCTTGTTTCTTAAGACTTCGTGCCACAAATTCTGCAAGGCAAAAAAACAGAAGCAAAATCCAGCTTTTACCTAATCGACAGCAGGAAGTCAAAGGAGCGGATGGGGTGAGGGAAAATAGGCCAAGAGTATCATTTTTTGGTTTGCTTTCCTGTCTGTCCTGTTGAAGGACCAAACTGAGAGCTCCTGCCATTATCATCTGTGTCTCCCTTATTACTACACAATCGGATGAGTGCAGAGATGAGGAGGCATCTCTCAAAAGCCTTAGGATATTCTGTGTGATGACCTCAATCTTCACTTTCAGCCATATTGGGAAAATCACTATTCATGGAGTGCCACCTACCAGTGAATGTACTGGAACATAAGGCGTTTGGCATGTATACACCTCTGTGTCCACGCACATGCAAACACACACTCACACATTATTCCAGTTGAAACTGTCACCACTCGACCTAATTCTGTTGCCATTTTAACTCTTAACATCAATGCCTCCAATCTGAGTAGGCAGGCATACACCGAATTCCAATATTGAATTATTTAACAGGAGAAAAATCACTAGGAAACCAATGAAAAAAAATGAGACCATGATAAATAAAGAAATGCCTAGCAGTAATAGTCTCACTACATTGTCCATTACCCTTCGAGCTGGTGAACTGAACTCGGGTTTGAATATAAAGGACAAACCAACCAACCCTGATCTTCACTTCAAGTTGCTTTAAGTGCTTGGAGGTTCTGACTTATTTGAGCCAGGCTTATCTGTTCAGGTTCCCCCCTGTTTGACTTGTAGACTGGAAAGTGGGACGTCTCAGGAAATGCATGTTTCCAGGGGGTTTTCGGTTCTACAGTTTTGCGGGTCCGGTGGCACAGGTTCACTCACGCCAATGAGGGCTCCTGAGCGAGCGTGCTCACCTTTTGACCTGCTCATAGAAAAGTATGCACAGCACCCCTCAGGACATGCTAAACAAGGTTTTGAAAAGTCATTTATTTTACTGCACTTTAGTCTTTTCAGCTAGAATTGTGACACAGTGGTGTAAATGCTGTATTTGCCATAACTTATCGGTGGCACCTCTGGTCCGTGCAGTTCTTCATGATGCTCTAAATCGTTTGTTTCATTTCCCCCGTGACAATGGTACACCGTTCTGTATAACCTGTAAATTGTGTTGGTTGAGTCTGTTGATAATTGTGTAATTTTTATTTCATGTGTGAGACTATTTTCAGGTATTAGTTCTACATGTATATTTGTATGAGTCAAAAGTATCTGCTTGTGTGTGGTTTGCCTGTAAGCATATTGTATCCTGTAAGAAAATCAAACTTATCCTAAAGAAAAAGGGCACATTATGACCAGCCTTAATTCATTGCCATTTTTTTTGTTGTTGTTGCTTTAAGTTGCTTAAATTTGAATTCGGGATTCAAATTTAAAGAGAAATTATGTCTTTGTTAAAAAATGGCTTTTAAACAATCATATGAGGGATGCACTTTAGACCTTCTCCAAGTTCCCCACAAACCACAGACCATAGTTCAGCTTGCAGAGCTCCCCCGTACTGTTCAAAGGTTGTGAACGTCCATTCGTTTATTCAACCCATAGTAAGGCAATGAGATTCAATTCTCATTGGTTTCCATCACCAACAGAACCAGCTCACCTCTAAAGCTGCTCCTCCAAACACGGAACCCATTTTGCTTAGGAGGATAAGTTGTCCATGAAAAACATTGTTTCTGCAAGGCATGACTTTTTAAAAATTGGATCTTCTCAAGAAAGATGAACTGCCTTGTCTCTCTGAGGGTCGCTAAAGACCCGTCAAACATGAAGTGGTCCCAGCATGGTTTTCTTTCCAAAACACAAGCATGCAACACTCTTTTGCACTTTTGCTACTTGCCCGTGTGTGGTCCGGGAGTAGAAAACGCGTGATTAGTTCGAGCATCTGCACAGGTTCTCCCGCGCCAGGTGAAGACCCCGTGGGCTTCCCTGGGCCTGGGGTCTGGGTTGGAATGTTCATCTTCTTATTTCCTCTCTTTCTCCATCCTCATTACCTTTTTTTCTCCCGGATTGAGGGTTACCAGATACAATACAGAACACCCAGTGAAATTTCGATTTCAGATAAACAGTCAATATTTTTTTTGTATAAGAATTTCCCAAATATTTCATGAAACATACTAACAAAAATATTGTTTGCTTATCTGAAATTGAAGTTTAACTGGGTGTCCTGTGATTTCTTCTCTTATCTGGCAGTGCTGCTCATCCTGCCTCTCTTTTTCGGCTGGGCTACCTAAAAGGGGTGAAATCCTACCTCCTCCCACACCCTCATGTTAATTCATACCCCTCGTGAATATCTATAGTCCTAATACCCTTCATGACGGAAATTGTCGATTCATGCCGAGTCCCCCAAATGGACCAACTCGAATATAGATGGAATTAGCAAGGGTGTAATCTTTATAAGATTCATGCCGCCCACATTCAAAATTTCTCTTCACGGGCCTGTTGTGAGGTGCAAATTGTCCCCCGTTACTCCCTTAGAGGAGCCTTTTCCAGTCATTGGGACAACCAAAACACTCACCCAGGAAAAATGCCTCCAGAAAGTGACATCACCTTCTAACTTAGTACCAAGACCTCTTACAATTCAGTCTCTTTTTCTTTCCGAGAGGGTACAAGCTAATCCATTACTCAGCTCAGTATCACCTTACCACAGATGATTTTTATCAGGCTAGAACTGGTCATCAGTGGGACTGTAAAACATCTGACCCAGAAAGGAACTCCCTCGATGACCAGAAGAGGAGGACAGAGTCCGGGGAATAGACACGCCCCGTGGGCGCCTTCTCAGGAGATTCGGTGGAGGTTGGGCAGCAGGTGCGGGCTCAGACAATGAAGTTAGCACGTGGCAGACAGACTTGCCCAAGCAAATTGTTAACAACCAGCACTTTTCCTGAGGAACTGGACCCCCAAGACACCCCAGAGTAAGAACAGGGAGGTGTAAGGCCAGTTTCTAGAACAGTTTGCAGAGAAGAGAACCATGGTGGAATTCCTAGAACAGAGTTTTCAAGTACTGTTGTATTCGACAGCAAATCCTCGACACGATCTGAATGTGGATGGAGTTTTAGAACATTTCTGGTTACCTACCTCCTCTCTTGAAATTCCCATGAGTAGTAGGAAAATCCCAGTCCTCTAATAGAACATTTCCCTTTCACGGCCCCACTTGCACACAGGTGGGCCGATTTGCTTCATTTCTAGGGGATGGGAATGCGCAGAGCTGGTGATATTTCCCGCATGGGACCCCGGAAATTCACCAGAGGGAGACGGACCTGTGCCTTCTCTTTTTAGGATCTGGTCATTGAT